AGTGCTAGGTCAGCTGCATAAATAATCAATATCGGTCCAAACCATCAAATACCTCCCCCACAAAGTGTCAAAATTTTGAATTTCCATGAAGCTCATAAAACGCGAAATTACCATCCGATTTCATTCAATATTTCTTCACATCTCAATATTTCTATCAACACAAGATCTGTTATAAATATTGTAGAGATCGGACCATTTTTTCTGGTACCCTCCACAAAGGGTCAATGTTTTGCATAACCAAAACGATTATAAAATACGAAATAAGCATCCGATTCTCTTCATATATCACACATCTCATTGTTTCTACTAACACAAGATATGCTGTTAAGATGGGATATATCGGTTCTTTACAAAGGGTCAAAATTTTGAATATCCATGAAATTCATATAACGCGAAATTAACATCCAATTCCATTAAGATTTGGCACATCTCAATATTTCTATCAACACTAGATCTGTTATAAAGATGGTAGAGATCGGGCCATTTCTTCTGGTATAGAGTTTAAGATTTTGAACAACAAAACACTCAAAGAGAGCCATTCAACTTTTCTCAAATTTCACACATACAAATATTTTTGCTAACACAAGATCCAATACTTATATCTGTCATATATCTTGTAAAACAAGTCAGTTATTCTTTACAACTTGCTATATCCATGGTACAATAAAAAGGTAAGGTAGAGCTCTCAGCTGATTACAATTTTTTTTTCTAAGTGTGCCCGACTTCTGCCAATTTTGTGTATGTATTTGTTGTTTTGAAAAATAAAACCAAAATATTTTCAAAACTAATGATTACGGAGCGCGCATTAATAATATTAACCAGATTTGCCATGGAATTGAAAGATTGAACACTTAGGATCATATTACAGAGAGAATATCCAGGCATTTCATTCATCTTTCGCGCTATTTGACTCATTTTAGATAGGAACAAAAAATATCAAATAATTGAAACACATTGTTGCCTTTAATTTTGAATAACTCTGACAGGAATCGGACATAGCATCGGGGCTGTAATTCTGTAGCTGTTCTATCTCCTTATTGTACCATGGAAAGAGAAACCTGAGATGAATATGGAATTTATGGTTTTGCATAAAATTGGATATAAATGTTCGAATTTCTTGTGATTGTGCCCATTCCAAAATATTTTTATCTGTATGAGATGAATCATGAAAATGGAAGTTTTTATAAAAATAATTTTGAATTTCTACAAATTTCCGAATTTTTCAGTAATTGCAGAATCTATTCGAGAACATTTTTTCAAAAATCATAAAATTTTTTATAATAAATATTATTGACTTGGCTTGGAAACATGTTAAATTTTCATTAATAGTACATAAATTTTGAATGTATTTTTCTTAAAAACTGAACCTAGATGTATGGTTTATTCTGAGATTTATGGTGAGATTTTGTATAGCTTTTCATATTTTGACAATTAATACATGAACTCTACTTGTTTTTTTTCTCTACGTACACATTCCATGCTATCCACGTTGCGTCTACACGTGACACTTACAGACGCACAAGTTGCATCGTTTATTTTTTATCAATGTGTGTCATGTACTAAATTATTAACTAAACCGCTTCAAATCATGGTAAATTATAATCGCAGTTCTAATTACAATGTAAACAAAACAAACACATGATGGAGATATGAATTTGTTGCTTTATTGCAGTGTCTTGATGGAGGAATACCCATGGGTGTTTTCGAAAAGTTTTTATTATCATCATCATTATGATGTCTGATACAGTCTACACAATGATTCCCAATGACATAAACTAATCGTATTTCCCCAAATCGAGAATTGTTGGACTACGTTGTGCTTTGAAATAAACTTTTTTAATGGCCAACTTCCCACATTTTAATGTTTTATTTTTGTTGGTGAATCGGACGCATTGAGTGCAGTGTGCTGCCGTCCAAATGAAAATGACTCCACAGAAATGTGTTGGCATTTGCCTTATCAAACGTTGTACATTTCCACACGAGACATGAGACGTTCACATGTTTCATTTGACAAAGAAACGTCTGATAAGCAACAAGTGGACCGGCCTTTTAAATCTAAACGACCGACAACCATATGTTTTTATTTTCTACACCCATACAAAACAAAACGCTAATACTTTGGACGATTGTAAACAGAACAAAGTATAAATGTAGTACAGCCGCACGCGTTTCGAAGAACGACTAATAGTCTGTAGTCCAACTGTTCCAATTGTGATATTGTGGGTCAGCGTTATGTTGGATGATACAGCTTTTCTCTTCTTGACCCATATTTGTTTGCGTATATATTTTAACACACATGATCACTGTATTAGACGGTTTATTATACGCGAGGAAGATCTACTCCAACAGGGATCTAATAAGAAGAGGAAATATTGCCTAAAGTATTTTATGCACTGGATACCTCTTAAAGATTTTCCATTCCATCCTGAACATCTCTTCATTAATACAATTGTAGTAGGACTTTACAAAGAAAGATTTCTAAGGACTTTTATGTAAAGAGTATCCAGGGGCTCAGTAGGGAAATTACTCAGGATTAAAAAAATTTTAACTAATTTTTAAATAAATTCAACTGATCCATTTAGTGATTATTTTTAGGAAATTTTCATCAGTTCTGGGCGACGTACGAAAACGTGGACCTAGGTTAATATATTTTTGGAATTGGGCTCTTTTTGAAAATCTTGGGTTCTGTTTGGAAATTCGGACCCCTATGGGTCGTTTTTGTTTCACGCAGCCCCGAAACTGGTTCCATTTTGAGAAACTGGTTCCATTTCCAAGGTGACCTATGGCCCTTCTTCAGTACTTTTTGCAAATGTTGACAAGTTTTCGGGACGCGGATTTATGGCCAATTCTCGTTCCACTAGTTCTTACCTCCCCCGGAATTGGATACAATTTGAAAATTTTAATAATTTCCGGAGAAACTTCGAAAACGTCGATCAAGAGCTCTGAATTAGGCTCTTTTTGAAAAACTTGGGTTCTGTTTGGAAATTCGGACCCCTATGGGTCGTTTTTGTTTCACGCAGCCCCGAAACTGGTTCCTTTTTGTGAATTTCGCCTAGTTCCTAGGTGACCTATAGCCCTTCTTCAGTCCTTTTTCAAATGTTGACAAGTTTTCGGGACAGGTGAACAACGCGGATTTATGGTCAATTTTCGTTCCACTAGTTCCTTCCTCCCCCGAAATTGGATCCAATTTAAAAATTTTAATAATTTTCTGGGTAAGTTCGAAAACGAGGACCAGGAGCTCGGAATTGGGCTCTTTTTGAAAATCTTGGGTTTTGTTTCGAAATTCGGACCCCTATGTCGTTTACGTTTAAAGCGGCCCCGAAACTGGATCCTATTTGAGAATTTCGCCTAGTTCCTAGGTTACCTATGCCGCGTTTTGCTCCTTTGTTGTAAATATTGACCGATTTTTTGGGGCAGGTGCAAAAATGCGGATTTATGGCTCCTTTTCGGTCCAATTGTTCCTAACTCTCCCGAAATTGAATTCAATTTGAAAATGTTAATAATTTCGGGAGAAGTTCGAAGATGTGGATCTAAGTGGCCTATAGCTATCATCTCCGATGAAAGTATGAAAAAGCAAATTTGGATGACCAATGACCTTGTTTCGGTCAACTTGCTCCTACCTCCCCCGAAATTGGATCCAATTTGGAAATTTTGATAATTTCCGGCTGACATTCGAAAACGTGGACCTAGCTGACCTATGGTTACCGACTCCGAAGAAGGTATGAAAACGCGGATTTAGGTGACCTATTGATCCACGTGGTCTTGAAAGAGAACCCAGTTTAAAATTTTTGAATACCTCCCGGAAAGTCATGACATATGGACCTAGTTGACCTATGGTTTCGAAATAGGGTATTTTTTCAGTTCCGAAAAGGTACGAAAACGTGCACCTAGGTGAAGTAAAAGGCCCTGTTTGAAAATGTTGCCCGGAATTGAACCCTGTTGGGATATTTTGACTAGTACGAAAACGTGGACTTAGATGACCTATGGCTCGGGTTACGAAAATCTGCACCTGGGTTACCTATTGATTCACCCAAACCCGAAAGAGGACCCTGTTTGAAATTTTGAGTAGCTCCCAGGAAGGTATGAAATATGAGGGAATAAGACCCGTTTACAAAAATTTAGGCAGTTCCGGGAAAGTACGAAATCGTGCACCTTGGTGACCTGTGGTAAAAGACCTGTATGAAAATTTTGACCGGACTTGTACCCTGTTGGGAAATTGTGACCAGCTCTGGCACAGATACGAAAATGTAGACCTGAGTGACCATGGCTACAATTTCAAAAGGAGGTACGAAAATGTATTGATTCACCCGGTCCCGAAAAAGGACCCACTTTGGAAAATTTAGAAGGTATAAAAGTGGACCTAGGTGACCCATGATCCAGGAAATGTTGGCCAGTTCCTGAAAGGGACGAAAACGTGGTAAAGGACTCTGTTGGGAAATTTTGACCCAATTTGAATTCTGTTGGGAAATTTTGACCAGCTATGTGAGAGGTACGAAAAGTGGGCCTAGATTGGATTTTTTTTTGACATTTTGATCACCACCAGGGGAGGCACGAAAAGTGGTCCTAAGTGACCTATCGTCCCGTAAACGAACCTTTCTGAAAATGTTGACCGACTCCGGGGTGACCTATGGTTTCGGATATGGTCCCTGTTGGGAAATTTTGACAAACTCCGAGGGAGATTCGAAGAGATGGAGTTAGATGACCTATTGTCTCTAAATTAAACGTTTTTGAAAATGCTAATCTTTTTCGGCGGTCTTTTCGGTCCACGTTTTCGTACTTCCTCTAGAAATGGATCCAATTTAAAAATCTTCACCATTTTCGGGGGAGGTACGAAAACGTGGACCTAGATGACCTATGGCACCTTTTCAAAACATTTGACCAGGAAAAAAATGTATTCTCACTTTTAGGAAGTTTGACGATTTTGGACACAATTTTTAACATAATTTTGAGCGGTAGTTGTGTTTATTAATAATTTTGTTTTTTTTTTTCTTTCATTCTAGTGGGACATTGTCATCCGAAGGTGGTGAGAGCCGGCTGCCTGCAAATGGCCACCATTTCGACCAATAATCGTTTTCTACACGACGAATTGGTACAGTGTGCCAAGACATTGACGGGTAAAATGCCGGGCCCTTTGTCGGTTTGCTTCTTTGTCAATTCCGGTTCGGAGGCCAATGATTTGGCACTGCGCTTGGCACGAAACTATACCAAACGCCAGGATATGATTACATTGGACCAGTAAGTATTCATTTAAATTGAAAGAATCAATTGGAAATTATTTCATAAATTTGCGTTTTCCCCCTTCTCAGTGCTTATCATGGCCATTTGACATCGGTAATGGAAATTTCTCCATATAAATTCAATCAACCTGGTGGCGACCCAAAACCAGATTATGTCCATGTTGCTCCCTGTCCCGATGTTTACGGTGGCACATATAGGGATATTGATTATCCCAATGCAGATATGGCTGAAATTTATACCAAGCCAATTCGTGATATCTGCGATCAATTGAAAGCCCAGGGCAAGGGGTTGGCTGGTTTCATTGCCGAGTCGTTGCAGAGTTGTGGTGGTCAAATTATTCCACCTGAGGGCTATTTTAAGGCTGCCTATGATATTGTACGTAATGCTGGCGGTGTGTGTATTGCCGACGAAGTCCAGGTTGGCTTTGGCCGTGTTGGCACCCATTATTGGGCCTTTGAGACTCAGGGCGTCGTACCGGATATTGTATGTGTTGCCAAGCCCATGGGTAATGGTCATCCTGTGGGGGCGGTCGTTACAACTCCTGAGATTGCCGAGGCTTTTTACAATACCGGTGTGGCCTATTTTAACACATATGGGGGCAATCCGGTGTCATGTGCCATTGCCAATGCTGTGATGCGTGTCATCGATGAGGAGGGCCTACAGGAAAATGCCCGAGTTGTTGGCGATTATTTGCTGCAACAATGTCGCGAATTTAAATATGAATTTGACATTATTGGCGACGTTCGTGGCCTTGGACTCTTTGTCGGTTTGGAGTTGGTGAAAAATCGCGAAACCCGTGAACCCGACACAACAGCCGCCCTTTGGATTGTTAATCGCATGAAACAGGTTCATCAGATTTTGGTCTCTTCGGATGGACCCAATGCCAATGTCATCAAGCTAAAGCCACCCATGTGCTTCAGCCAGAAGAATGCCGATGAATTCCTGTTGGCATTCCGTGAATGCCTGACGTTTTTGGAAAAGCAAAGAGATGGCGATCATTTGCCAGCCAGCAATGCTGTAAATTCGAATTCCACCACTGCCAATGGTGAGAGTATGGCAAGTAAGGCCCAAATATTTGAACGCCAGGAACGTTTAATTAAATCAGTTTAGAAAATAAGAACCAAAATGTTGTTAGTTTTGTAAGAGTTACTTTATAGAATTTTAATTATAGTTTTTTACAAAATTTATTTTTTTTTATTCCAAAATTGTTACCGCAAAATCTGAAATGCGAAACCAAGCATATATAAGCTTTACCCATTGTATGTATATTTAGTTCTAGTATCTAGAATATTATTTTTGTTAATAACATTTTTTATGTTTTTTTGAAATGTTTTGAGAGATTTTTTTGTTTTGTTATGCAACATTAGGTTAAGAAAACTAAAAATAATTATAACAACAACAAATGTTTTGCAATCAACAAATACACAATATGAGAAGCAATAAAAACGCTATAAATGTTATTTAAATATGCTAAACTACATTGATGTTTTATTTCAAGATAAAACAAGTTAAATAGTATCCGTCGGTTATATGCATACCTCCAGCCTTGAGTTATGATTATTCAAACTTTTGGCCGTTTATGGAGGGAGTTCCGAAGCAGTTGGCCAACATTGACCAATTCGTATCTGAAATAAGACTGATATAAATATTATAGATAGATATATCGATTATAGACTATATCGATTACTTCCTATACTTTATGTGAGATATGTGCAAAATTTTTGGAAAATGTGGAAATATGCGTGAGGTAAAAATATAGTCTACATAGTCGACCGAAGTATTTAATTTTCATACATCATCTAATATAGATAAAACCATAAAGAAAGTCATAAAGTCGGGCGGGGTCGACTTTATGATACCCAAAACCACTTTGCTAATTTAGTAGAGCTCCACATAAAAATTAAAAGTTTTTACGGGAGAATTCAATCATACACGCTATGATTATAATTATAATTTAAAGTTCAAAAGACTAAATATGCCGAAGCATTTGCATCTTTTAAATTCGGACTTGTATTGCCCATTTGGTGCAAAATTAATTTGAAATCCGATAAATATATATGGGAGCCATATCCAAATCTGAAACGATCTTGATAACATTTAGCAAAGATATTTCTGAGCTGTATTTCATATATTTCCCTGAATATCGTTGTAACGAAGTGCATGTTAAGGTTGTGGGTAAAAAATATAACAAATCGGATGAACAATATATATGGGAGCTATAGCTATATCTGAATCGATCTTCACTAAATTTGACATACTAGCTTCTAGACTCAATTCGGTCGTATGTGCCAAATTTCATCCCCTTTGGGCAAATATTAGACGTTTGGTGCACAATAAAAGCCAAATCGGACGAAGTTATATATGTGAGATATATCCAAATCCGAACCGAACTCGATAAAATTTAGTAAATTGTATTTTTGAGCTGTATTTGATATTTTCCCCCAAATATTGTTGTTACAGAGTGCATATTACGGCAGCGGAGGACAAAAATAACAAATCGGATGAACAATATATATGAGAGCTATAGGTATATCTGAACCGATTTCGATCAAATTTGGCATACTTATTTTCAGGCCTAATTTGGTTGTATGTACAAAATTCCATACTATTCAGGCTGATATTACACGTTTGGTGCACAATAAAAGGTAAATCGGACGAATGTATATATGGGAGCTATATCTAAATTTTTACCGATTATCTCCAATTTCAATATGGTTCGTCCTTGGGCCAAACAAAAGATCTTTGCAAAATTTCATTTGGATCGGGTAATAAATGCGAACTGTACTTTGTTCACAAAAATACATGGACAGACGGACGGACGGGCAGACGGACGTACATGCATAAATCGACAAGGTGACCACCTTGTGGTGTAGGGTATAAATATGAGCCTTGTTTGAGTGCGTATCATGACTTTAGAGTAGTCACAATTTGGGAACTATATCCAACATTGAATCGATTTTCAACAAATTTGACGGAGGATTTGTACCTCCACTACAAAATAACATTGCTGGTGTGACTTCGATATGACATGATATGACTTCGACAAGAATTGTATTAAAAATACTTATTGGAACAATAGATATACTGGACCAAGTTTCACAAAATGTGAAAAGTAAGAAAACATTAATACTCTCCTTCACCGAACCACTGAACTTTTAATACCCTCCACCATTGGGTAAAGAAAACTTTTTTAATATAAAAGTAATGAATATCGGTGGGTATCGTTATTTGGGGGCTATACAAAAACGTGGACCTATACATACAATGTTACGACACCTGAGCTAGAACCTATTATGAACTAAAAATACCAATTTTTAGACAAATCAGTGGAAAAATGTGGCCAAAATCATCAAAATACTGAAAATGGGGAGGTACCGTTATATGGAGGCTATATATCAAAACGTGGACCTATACATACAATATTTCGCCGCCGGAGCTAGAACCCTTTATGACCTACAAATATCAATTTTAGACAAATCCGTGGGAAAATGTTGCAAAAATCATCAAAATAACGAATATCGTGAAGTATCGTTATATGGGGGCTATATGAATACGTCCACCTATACATAAAATGCTTCGCCATAGGAACTAGAACCCATTATGGCGTACAAATACAAATTTCTAGAAAAATCCGTGGAAAAATGTGGCAAAAAACATTAAAATACCGAATATCGGGAGGTACCATTATGTGGCGGCTATACTAAAACGTGGACTGATATATCTTATTTTCAATACCAACACAAAAAGAAATTGTTCTGACAAATTTTGAAGCTCTACGTCAATTTATGTTGGCTGTATTGTGATTTCAACAGCAGACGGACGGACGGACGGACGGACATCGCTAAATCAACTTAGAATTTTATGCTCATCATGAATATATATACCTTATGAGGTCTACGACAACTATTTAGGGATGTTACAAACGGAATGACCGTGATACTGGCAGAGTAGCCCGACGTCAAGGAGGTGGACGGTAGAAAACAGCAACATCAGCAGAAATAGTTCGAAAAGTAAGGAAGCGACTTGATCGAATCCCGCGTCGTAGTGGCCAAAAAATGGCTCGTGAGCTGAACATATCGCAATATTCCTTTCGGCAAATATTGAAAAATGAGCACGCGGTAAAGCCATTAAATTCCAAAAAGTGCAAGAACTTACTCCGCAACAGAAAGAGTTGCTTCGTTTGGCCGAAAGTGGTGAACTGCAGAATTTGGTTTTCTCCGATGAGAAAACATTCGTTGTTCAGCCGTTTGTAAACAAACAAAATGACCGTCTTTACTTGCCAAAGCGGTCAGCTGAATATGTGCACTTTCGGTTGGCCACCAGAACTCAAGCGCCGGCATGGTGATGGTGTGGGCCGCCATAACAACCGATGGTCGCTCTCCGCTCGTATTAATCCACCGTGGCATCAGAATAAATGCTAAATATTATCGCGAAAATATTTTGACCGCAGGCCTTGGACATTCCAACAGGACTCAGCACCATTGCACTCAGCACACGCCACCCAAGAATGGTTACAAAATGAAGTTCCTCGCTTCATTTCATTTGTGGAGTATTTTGGAAAGCAAGTTTGGGACAAAAAAATATCAAAGTGTCGATAACCTCAAGCAAGCGCTTCCAAAATACCGCAGAGCAATATTCGGCAGAGTGTGACTGACGGTTTCATTGGCCGTTTAAAGGCCATTCGTGCCAAATCTAAACTTATTCTGAAATTTGATGCTATTTCCGTAATTTTTTGCTTTCATTCAATAGAATTAAAAAAAAAAAATAAAATTTAAATATCATGTCGTTTGTTTTTGTTGCAGGTTTTTTATCTCACCCTATATGGGAGATATAGTTATATCTGAACCGATTTTAACCGAATTTGATTTACTAGCTTGTAGACAAAATTCGGTCGGATGTGCCGAAATGCAGATCATTTGGACTGATATTGGTCATTTGGTGCACAATTAACCCGAAATCGACTGAAGATATATATGGGAGCTATATATACATTTGTACCGATTCTCACCAATTTCAATGGGGTTCGTCCTTGGGCCAAACAAGGACGGTGTAGGGTATAAATCGATTGCACTGTAACTATTTTTACATCATCCATATAGGGTGTATTAAGTTTGTCATTCCGTTTGTAACTCATCGAAATAATCATATTATGTATCTTGATCAGCGTAAAATTCTAAGCCGATTTTGCTATGTCCTTCCGTCCGTCTGTAGGTCTGTAGTAATCACGCTAGAGTCCAAGCGGCGTAGATAGAAAGCTAAAAATTTGCATAGAGTTGTCTTTTGTTTCCAGTCAGGTTAAGTTCGGTCAATGTTTTCGTATAGCTCCCATAAACTGTAATACCCCATATTTCGTATTTTGATGATTTAGTTTCTAGCGGAATGGTTTACATTTAGATATTTGGAGTTCGTAATGAGTTATATCTATCATTGCCCATGTAACAATATGCTTTCGTATAGCTCCATATAATTGTACCTCCACATATTTGGTATTTTGACGATTTTAGGCACACTTTCTAAGGGAATAGTTTAAAATTCGGTATTTGAAATTCACAACAGATTATATTTACTGTGACAGAAAATTCTCTATTTAGGTCCATTTTTTCCAGAGTCCCCATATTATTGTACATGGCGACATTCGGTTTTTTTATGATTTTAGCCTCAGTTTCCAGGGTAATAGCTAAAAAATCCGGTATTTGTAGTTCGTAATTAGTTCTATCTACTAAGGCAGAACATTATCCATGTAACACTTTGCTTTCGTATAGGCGATTTTTCTCCATATATTCAAATGGAATTATTTAAAATTCGGTATTTAGAATTTATAACGGCTTCTACCATCTCTGGCAGAATATTGTCTATATAGGTCCTTGTTTTCGTATAGGCCCGATATTAACTACTTTTTTACTTATTATTACGCGGTCTGTTGCAGAATCACAATTATCGAAATCGATAGTGATTGTTATGGACTCCTGGGAGAGGAAAAATCGAAAGCAACAAAGTATTTTTATACCCTCCACCATACTATGGAGGGTATATTAATTTTGTCATTCCGTTTGTAACTCCTCGAAATACTCACGTCAGACCCAACAAAGTATATATATATATATTCTTGATCAGCGTAAAATTCTAAGACGATTTAGCCATGTCCGTCTGCCTGTCTGTGTGTCTGTCTGTCTGTCTGTCCGTCTGTCTGTCTGTCTGTTGTAATCACGCTATCTTTCGAACAAATTGAGATAGAAGGCTAAAATTTTGCACACATGTATATTTTGCCAGTAGGCAGGTTAAGTTCGTAAATGGGTCATGTAGGTCCAAGTTTTCATATAGCCCCCATATAACGGTACCTCTCGATATTCGGTATTTTGATGATTTTAGCGACATTATTCACCGGAATTATTTCAAATTTGGCATTTGAAGTTCGTAATGGATACTACAGCCTAAGACAGAAAATTATCTGTGCAGGTTCACGTCTTCGTATAGCCCC